GAGAGAGAGAGAGAGAACATTGATTGATCTATTTAAGTGCTTGAATTTTAAAAAATTATGCTCAGGGGGGACACGATGTGGCTTATCTATAGTACAGTCAAAGATTCGAGGCGCCACTTATTGTCAAATATTTCCTCAACTAATGAATACAAATTCTCCAGCTTTTGCACAATAACTTGTATCAATTTATTTGTCTAAACAGACCAATGTCTTTGTAAACCGCAATTGTTCTTTCCAGCTGCCTGTTGATTATCCATGCATCGCACCTATATAATAGGATTGGCTCGATGTAACTTTTCAGTAATCATTTTCTTGTTTCCAGTGACAGATTGATGTTTGTGAGTATCTGTTTCATTTTGTGGAAGATTGCTTTTGCTTGGCAGATGCCGCGTGACATCTCCGATCTGATGTTATAATGGTCCCCAAATATTAACAACGTTGTTCTTGCTTGAGGGTGGTACCATTGATTTTGATATTGCAGGTTGGGGTTGGAGTTTTTCTGCTCGCCACCATTGTTTCAGTTTTCTTGAAGTTTGGGCTTAGGCCCATGTTGTCACTCTCTTGTACGATGACATTATTAGCCCTAGGACTGTGTCGTCTGCATATCTCAGATTGTTTACGCTATGTCCCCCTATTGAGATACCTGGCATTTATTCTATGTGTCTTATAATATCTTCACTATACAGGGAGAACACGTCGGGTGAAAGTACATATCCCTGTCTGACTCCTATTTTTAACTGTATGGATTTGCTGATGTCATTTTCTATTCTTATTGCAGCGGTTTGATGACATATTCTTGATAATCTTTAAGTCCTTCCCGTCAATATTGAGGACTTCTAGTTTGTCGATGATCATGTCGTGCCAAACTTTGTCGAATTATAGTCTATAAAGCATAAATGACGTCTTTCTAAACCTCCAGGGCACGTTCTATTGTTGTTCCGATGACATGTGTGGCATTTACAGAGCCTTAACCATCAATAAATCACACTTTTCTTTGACTATTTCTGGGAGAATTTTATTTCGTATTCTCATCATAATTTAGTATTTTTGTTACGTGGCTCATGAGGCTAATAGTACGATGAGTTTCACATTCATTTGCATTAGGTTTCTTTGGTACAGCTATGAAGATAGATTTTGACCAATCCGATGGAATATGTCCAGTGTTATAAACGTTGTTGAGAAGTTTTGTCAGTGTGGTGATTCCAAAGTCCTCTAAAGCTTTAATCATCTCTGTGGTAATGTCAGGTCCTGCAGCTTTCCCATTCTTCATTTTCCTTAGAACTTTGACAACTTCTTCCTTCATGATTGGTGGGCCTTCGTTGTTATTTTCCGCTCTTCTTTGTTCATCGTTTTTATCATTGTACAGGTCACCGATATATACTGTAGATCGTTCCAGTTTCTTATCGTTATCCATGATGATATTCCCAGCCTTTGATTTGAGGCATCTTGTTGATCCCCGTGTTCATGTATGGCACACCTCTTTAATTGTTCTGTCCAGATCTTCTGAGTTCGCACTTGACTAATTTTCCATTTTCTCACATTCTTCTTTTAACTATGTCTCCATTGCCATATTACATTTGTCTCTGATTTCTTTATAAAGATTGACATATTATTCTTCCTGATTGTTTTTATTTCTCTTTCGTTCCCCCATAAGATTAAGAACTTTTCCAGTCATCCATTTCTTCTTTGCTTCTGTTGTCCTTTCTGGTATGACGTCTTTTGCAGACTCATTAATAGATATGTTAAGCTGTTCCAATTGTTCTATGTCTTGTATTTCTTCTAAGAAGCCAAATTTGTTCTGTACAGTTATTGTGAATTTATCTTGCATTTCTTTGTTTGACAGCAGTAATACCATGTTTAGTTTCATATTCTTGTTCTTGCTTACGTATGTTCTCTTCCATCTGGTTCTTATTCCCCCCCCCCTCCCCACTTATTAATTATAGTGTTCATGGTAGCGTTAAACCCATACACTGACTTTTCCACCAAGAACGTATTTCTTGCCTCGCCTTCAATGCCAAGACAGAGCTCCAATGTTTCATACACCTGTCGCTACTCTTGTTCCCCGTCTACAGTGCTCTTGATCTTGTGCAGTAACCAGAGAGTGAGGATTTTGTCCACGTTTTGTAGACTTTAGTTCTTTGTCTTGTAGACAGTTGCGTCATATGATTACACAGAGCTCTCTCTCTCTCTCTCTCTCTCTCTCTCTCTCTCTCTCTCTCT